TACTTAACTAAAGTGTATGCTTATTTGAAAATGTCGAAATGTCTTTTTTTTTTTCCTAGGGATGTAGTTGCTGTTCTCCTTTTTGACTTGTGGCTGACTTTTAACCGACTTTTTTTGCTCTGACTGACAAAATCTCTGAAGACTTTTCTTGTAGAATGTTGATGTGACCTATTGACTTGTTTGTGTATTTCCCAGTGTCCAAGCCAGTGAAAGCAGGGCCATACTGTGCCTTGTGTGAGTTGGTGATGACACAACTGGATCAGATGCTACAACAGAACTCTACTGTGGTGAGCTGTATTCTCTTGTATGGCAGAACATGTTGTCACTGTCTACGGTTACTTTTCTTGTCTTTAGGGTGGTATGGTGTGTTACTGTTATTTGTGTTTCGATGTCGATGAGACAATGTCATTTTTAAGTGTTCATATTTTTATGTCCCTCAATCTTTACTAGTTTTCTAGGCTGCCTGGATTTTTCCCAGATTTGTCATAATCATCGTTTGTATAACAATAAATTAATGTACTTTGTATGGTATGACTCACGATGTATCAACACGTGTCAGAAGTGTTTTCATTCATCTAAATAACAGAAAGCTCTCCCATGTTTTTTTCGGTCACCAGCAAGAGATTGAGTCTGCCCTGGAGCAAGTGTGTAACTTCCTGCCAGCCACGATGAGACAGGAGTGTGACGATTTTGTCAAGCAGTACACCCCCACCCTGGTTCAGCTGTTGCTACAGGTGTCTCCAGACAAGGCCTGCTCCTACCTGGGCCTCTGTACCTCCAACAAAGGTCAGGACAAAGCTAGCTTTTCACGTTGGCCTCAAAGTTTGTCTCCATTTCCATGACAGTATTCCTTTGATGGATACAGTTTATGCATGTTGAAGTTGGGAGGGGCGAGAAGGGCTGAAATAGCTTGCATTAGTGACAGAAAGAACTGATTTTTTTTCTTTCATCTGTCTAAAGAATTTATTAATTTCTTTGTGTGTATAAATTTTATATGACTTGTAAATGTCCACTTTTATTTATGTGCGACACGAAATAACTTGCATTATTGATATAATGGAATTGTTTTTTCACTTCTATTAGCAAATAGTTGTAAAGTGCATAGAGCAAGCTCTTGAGCATGGATATACACTATATAAATGGAATTATTATTATGCTTTTAAAATTGATTTTTTCCTCTTCTATTCACCTAAAGTATTGACAACTTATCTAATGTGTGTGTGCATTTTTGAAAATGTTGAAATATCTTTTTGTTTCACGGTGATGCAGTTGCTTTTCTCCTCTTTGACATATGGCTGACTTTTAAGCAATCTTTTTTACTGACACATAAAATCCCTGAAAACTTTTCTAGTAGAATTTGGATGTGACCTATTGAGTTGTTTGTGTATTTCCCAGTGTCCAAGCCAGTGAAAGCAGGGCCATACTGTGCCTTGTGTGAGTTGGTGATGACACAACTGGATAAGATGCTACAACAGAACTCTACTGTGGTGAGCTGTATTCTCTTGTATGGCAGAACATATTGTCACTGTCTACGGTTACTTTTCTTGTCTTTAGGATGGTATGGCGCGCTTCTATTTCTGTTGTTAATGACGTCGTTGGTAGAAAAAAGATGTCATTTTGTATTTTCATGTCCCTCTGTCGTTGTTTTTCTAGATTGCCTTGATGTTTTCCCAGATGTGCATAATCGTTTTTATAACAGTTACAGTACTTTGTTTGGTATGACGTGGAAAAAAAAGTTTTTATACCAAAATAACAAAAAATCTCTCATGTTTTTCTCGGTCATCAGCCAGAGATTGAGGCTGCCCTGGTGCAAGTGTGTAACTTCCTGCCGGCCACAGTGAGACAGGAGTGTGACGATTTTGTCCTACAGTATACCCCCACCCTGGTCCAGCTGTTGCTACAGGTGTCTCCAGACAAGGCCTGCTCCTACCTGGGCCTCTGTACCTCCAACAAAGGTCAGGACAAAGCTAGCTTTTCACGTTGCCCTCAAAGTTTGTCTCCATTTCCATGGTAGGATTCCTTTGAAGGACACAGTTTATGATTGGGGAAATTGCGTGTGTGTTTAGAAATAGCAAGCCATAGTGACAGAGCAGAATTGATTTTGTTCCCTTTTTTCCGTCTAAAGTATTGACTTACCAACTAGTGTGCTTGAATTTTTTAATGTAGTCTAGATGTCTACTTGCTTAGGGGACAAGAAGAAATTAGCTGTAGTGACAGAAGGAAATCAATTTTTTAACTTCTAATTAGCTTGTGACATAACATCACAACTGAAAGAGCTGCGGAGCTGGCCTACTATAGAAAACTGCATCTCCCCTCGACGCTTAATGGCAACAGAGGATGAAAAAGAAAAGAAAAAGAATTAGTTTGTGTGTATGCTTTTAAAATCGATCTTTTCGATTCTATTTATCTTAAGTCTTGACAACTTAACTAGCGTGTGTTCATTGTTGAAAACGTCTGCTTGTCTGTTTGTTTCTTGGTTGTGCAGTTGCTTTTCTCCTCTTTGAGTTGTGGCTGATTTTTGGCAGATCTTTTTAGATGCTTTTTAAAACTCTGAAAACTTTACAAGCAGAATGTTGATGTGACCTATTGACTTGTTTGTGTATTTCCCAGTGTCCAAGCCAGTGAAAGCAGGGCCATACTGTGCCTTGTGTGAGTTGGTGATGACACAACTGGATAAGATGCTACAACAGAACTCTACTGTGGTGAGCTGTATTCTCTTGTATGGCAGAACATGTTGTCACTGTCTCCGGTTACTTTACTTGTATTTACGATAGTTTGGTATGCTTCTCTTTTTCTTGTCCATGATGTCTTTGGTGGCAAAAAGATGCCACTTTTCAATCTGTGTGTTTTCATGTCCCTCTGTCATTGTTGTTTTTCAAGGTTGCCTTGATTTTTCCCAGATGTGCATAATCGCTTTTATAACAATAAATTACGATACTTTGTTTAGTATGACTAAGAATATATCAACACGTAGCAGAAAAGTTTTCATGCCTCAAAATAACAAAAACGTCTGGCATGTTTTTCTCGGTCACCAGCAAGAGATTGAGTCTGCCCTGGAGCAAGTGTGTAACTTCCTGCCGGCCACGGTGAGACAGGAGTGTGACGATTTTGTCAAGCAGTACACCCCCACCCTGGTCCAGCTGTTGCTACAGGTGTCTCCAGACAAGGCCTGCTCCTACCTGGGCCTCTGTACCTCCAACAAAGGTCAGGACAAAGCTAGCTTTTCACGTTGACCTCAAAGTTTGTCTCCATTTCCATGACAGTATTCCTTTGATGGATACAGTTTATGCATGTTGAAATTGGGAGGGGGGTAGAAGGGTTGAAATAGCTTGCATTAGTGACAGAAAGAACTGATTTTTTTTTCTTTCATCTGTCTAAAGAATTGATTAATTTCTTTGTGTGTATAAATTTTGTATGACTTGTAAATGTCCACTTTTTTTTATGTGCGACACGAAATAACTAGCATTAGTGACATAATGGAATTGTCTTTTCACTTCCATTTAGCAATTGTGTATGCTTTTAACATTGATTTTTTCCTCTTCTATTCACCTAAAGTATTGATAACTTATCTAATGTGTGTGTGCATTTTTGAATATGTCGAAATGTCTTTTTGTTTCACGGGGAAGCAGTTGCTTTTCTCCTCTTTGGCCTATGGCTAATTTTTAAGCCATCTTTTTTACTGACACATAAAATCCCTGAAAACTTTTCTAGTAGAATTTGGATGTGACCTATTGACTTGTTTGTGTATTTCCCAGTGTCCAAGCCAGTGAAAGCAGGGCCATACTGTGCCTTGTGTGAGTTGGTGATGACACAACTGGATAAGATGCTACAACAGAACTCTACTGTGGTGAGCTGTATTCTCTTGTATAGCAGAACATATTGTCACTGTCTCCGGTTACTTTACTTGTATTTACGATAGTTTGGCATGCTTCTCTTTTTCTTGTCTATGATGTCTTTGGTGGCAAAAAGATGGCCACATTTAAATCTGTGTGTTTTCATGTCCCTCTGTCGTTGTTGTTTTTATAGGTTGCCTTGATTTTTCCCAGATGTGCATAATCGCTTTTATAACAATAAATTACGGTACTTTGTTTAGTATGACTAAGAATATATCAACACGTAGCAGAAAAGTTTTCATGCATCAAAATAACAAAAACGTCTGGCATGTTTTTCTCGGTCACCAGCAAGAGATTGAGTCTGCCCTGGAGCAAGTGTGTAACTTCCTGCCGGCCACGGTGAGACAGGAGTGTGACGATTTTGTCAAGCAGTACACCCCTACCCTGGTCCAGCTGTTGTTACAG